CTGGTGACACGGAAATGGTTGGATATACACAGCAGGCTTGCGGGTTGCATAGAAGATGCTCTCGAGGTAGCGTCAGACCTATATCCGTATGGTCGATATGAGAGTCGCCAACTTTGCCAGGATTACCTCCCCCATGCTAATGCCGTTCTCCAACACAGCGCGAGTATTTCTCGTAAAGAGCGACTTGCAAGAGCGTCCCTTTTGCTCAATATAACGGGTTATTTCCTATATTACGGTCAGTGGGCACAGGCAGAACAAGTCGTAGCTCAATCCCTCAAGCTGCGGGAGAACATATTGGGAGAGGAGCATCCCTCGACGCTGACGAGCATGGCCAACCTGGCGTCGACGTACAGGAACCAAGGCCGATGGAAGGAGGCCGAGGAGTTGTTTGTGCGGGTGATTGAGACGAGAAAGAGGGTGCTTGGAGAGGAGCATCCCTCCACGCTGACGAGCATGCATAATCTGGCCTTCACTTGGAAAAATCTGAAACGATAGAAAGATGCAATGCAACTGCTGCAGGACTGTGTCCGCCTGAGAGAGAACGTCCTCGGTGTGGATCATACAGACACCATATCTTCCACCTCAGCTCTCTCAGACTGGAGAGTACAGTTCAGCATTTTACTGTATAACACAACTAGGACTTAGTTTGAGTTGATAAAGTCAAACTACAGGGCCTTATGTTTGGGCTCTCGAGTCCACCATAGATGACATTCCCTTCGCAGCTCCCTCTCATGCTTCAAAGCCCCCTCTAATTGCAGGCGTAACAGGCAACGCTGTTCCTCGCGCTTCAATTGCCGTATTTTCTCACTAGTGGTCTTTTCCACCTCGTCTGGCTTGCCGTGCTTCTGCAAATCCGAATAAGTTGGATTCACCCGCAGCTGCTTTCCTGAACCCTCTGTCTGGCAGTAAGGACATTTGTTGAGAAATTGAGGCCCTGCTTCTTGCAGACATTCACTGTGAAAAACATGACCTAGGACTCGTCAGGGGCCATTCTTGAAAGAGAAACAGTGTAGGCTACCGCAACGAATTGCCACGAGGTGCCTTTCGCAGTTATCGTGACAGATCACACACTCCACGCCATAAAGCACCCAAGTGTCTTGCGGGCCTCTGATATGATGACTGTACTTGGAGCAAATTAGACTGCCGGACGAGTCGTAGTCTTGGTAGTTTCTACAGCATGTTGAACATATGACCTTGGTTGTTGTTAGCATGAGCCTAACGGCGCAGGTATAGGATGCACCCACGCAAGAACACGCAGTCAGGAGAACACGCTCCGTCAAAGGGCGATAGCACCAGGCGCAGAAGTAGGAAAACTCCGGCTCAGCATCCGGTTTACTAGCCATTGTGCCACAACGCAGTAATCAAGAAGTTGAAAGTAAAGAATCCAAAGGACCGAGCGAAAGCTTAATCTTTATTTATACTTAGAGAGTAGAACCCAGTGCTACACTATCTTACAATCAAATCCATGCGGCGGAGGCCGGCCACTAATCCGCTTACTAGAGAGCAGTCTAGTTGAAGTTAGACCAGCTGGTCACATACTTCCGCTGCGTGACCTCGGCAGGCGTGGCATCCAGATTTGGCCTTGGATGAGGCGAGTCCTGCTCGTTGGAAGTGCTGCCATCATTCCTCCCAGCAAACCATTCCTTATCAGGCAACTCAGCTATGGCAGTTTCTATTGCGGATGAGAAAGGTGCCGTAGTTGCAAGCCCAATATCACCCATCCGGTAGGTTTGGGGTTCCGAAACATTATCTAAATGAGGTTAGAGGTTTCGTAAGTATGCAGTGTGGTAACCTACAAGGCAATGATCCAGACTGTTCAGCAGAGACCTGTTCCTCTGCATTCTCCCGGTCTCTGGAATGCAACCAGAGAAAGCATGAGAAGGCCAACACGGGGATAGAAATTGCGATGGCTAGAATAATTATGAAGAGTGGTACGCCCTGTATCATGGGTCTGTCGGCCTTAGAATCCGTCATCGACGCGGTAGGTGTGACGGCAGTCACGATAGTCGCAATAGAGGTGGCAGAAGTACTTGGGGTGGTAGTAGTACTGAGCCTCGTTGTGGAAGAAAAGGTTGTAGTAGCCGACGCAAATGAAGAAATTGAGAATGACGTGACGGCGTGGTTGTCAGGACAATCAGGCAAATCACAAGGATCGACTGCACAGCAGCCACGAAACCCATTCTTGCTACAGACGTAGTAAGACTTTTGCTGAGCGCAGCTCTGACGATAAAGGTGTTGGTTCTGCATTGTCGTTCTAGCCTGGGACAAGAATCGTGTTTTCAAATGCAGTTGTCAACATTGATATAACAAGAATTTATTCGCCATCCTCTCCTTCAGAGATCCGGCGCTTAGGGGTTTCTAATTTAAGCAACGCTGTTCTATTCCGGGACAAGCTGCCGGCCAACGACAGCCCAACTTCAATATTCCAGGTTTCTGCTTTCTCTCTGTTCATATCACACAGATACCAACAATATATACACCAAAAGGCATCCTGAGATGTAAGTAGAATGTCTCTCAGACATGGGCAAGTTCGTGAAGCACACGGGCGAAAACATGGAAACCCAACAATTCTGTCGCGAACCCACGCCTGAGCAAGAGCTCTTGCCCGTTCAAGATTCCGTTGACACTAGAGCCACTATCACTCCTGACCACGACACCGAGAATATAGGCATAAAGCCTTGCAAAGTGATCCTGCGGACGACTCGGAGCTCAGGTCGAGCAGCCAGAGCTAGACAGATGGAGAGACTGCGCCGTCGGAAACTCAACCTGGCTAAGAAGGCTCACGAATTCCATCGCGATTTCCAGCAAGACTTCAACGCAGACGTCTTCCTTATCGTGAGAACTGCAGGGAAGTACCTGATTTTTGACTCGTCCGACGACTCTAGCTGGCGTTCGCCAACCCATCTCGTTTGTTTCTCTTCCCAGTCATGCCTGATGCATTATTGACAAGTACTCAGGACAGGACTTACCCTATTCCAAAGGTGTTCACACCAGAGAGCTTCGCACAAGAATGACTGTAGCTGCAAATCAGGCTAAGGAGGGACAGCATCTGTTGCAACGTTCATAGTGAATTTAAAATAAGCTTTTTGCCATGGCCGAATGTGTCAGCAAAGTATGCATTGAGTTGCCGCGAAACATGTTTGCTCAAGGTGCTTGATATGACAGAGGAAGTCGTCTGCGGCCAAAATAGCATGCTGCCTATGTTTCTATGAAGCCAGGGGACCCAGAACTACTGTAAGCTAAGATCTGGTTGATGTAGGGAGGAAGAGGCTGTGAAATTCAGCTGGCCGATGAAAGCATACTAGTGTGCCTTTCTCATTTACCTTATGCGAGCACGTCTTATTGAGAGTAGGAATATAACAAGACGGGCAGGATCCTCCACCTGAATGAGACATCGGCGACTTTCACGCTTGGACTCATTACTGAGAGAGTAGTTGTGTGTGTGACCAATAACTATAGCCAACTTTATCCCACATTCATTAACTATGCTGCTAGTGGCCATACTGATGATCTGTCAGCAGCCGACGCAAGCATTGCTAGAGTATCGCCAAGAAAAACGCAGGAACAGCGATCCTACCATAGTATATATTTGGCGGCTGAAACGAATTCAATGAACAGCAGTACGTCTGCCTCAGGGTTGCTGTATGATATCCAGGGCTTGGTCAGCCTGAATTAACGTAAAGTCGAAGGCGACGTTACACTCAACCAAGCGAAATCCAACACATCGATGGTACCGAAGAACATGCATGGCTTTGAGAGGCGCAGTAACCATCTTTGCCTATATCCTCTCACGTAGCTCTCTCAGAAGGCATGGAGAGAAGGCGAATAATGGAGAGCCCAGCCCCGATGAGCCGTCTGCCTGATATGCTCAGTGGCGCCTTTAATGGAGCCTTGTAACAGTGTGGTTGGCGAAAAGGTACGCGTCTGCTTCGCTCGGCAAACATCTGGAGCTTCGTTAGCTGTCCGCAATTCTAGACGGGCTCCTCTTCCGCCCAAGATTATTTAGGGAACCGATTCCGCCTCCAGCTTCTCGTTCTCGCCTAGTCTGTGCTATCTCCTATGAACGTCAACTACAGCCTGAATGAACAGGCTTTTATGGGAACCATTCTGCTGACGCTGAGCCGCAGTATGTCACGGGCTAGAGCCCGGATTGATATCTCCGGCTTTGCCGGAGCAGTTACCGAGATCCGGATCCGTTGGACCCACAATTCTGCCGCAGTACACCGCCTAACCCGGTTTGCTTCACAGCTGTTAGGTGCTGTCAGAACTAGGGATCCCCTCGCTTAGGTGAAACTAACCGGTTACAGTCATTACTCAGTCAACGACATATTCAGGCCAGGATTGCCTTACAAGGGATAAACGCCAATCGTTTATATAGATCTACTGCAGGACCAGCAGATTACACTAAGCAATACAACCAACTTTATCCCACATTCATTATGCTGCTATTGGCCATACTGATGATCTGTCAGGTGCCTACTCTTGTAAAGCCCGTTCTTCCTTCTTCGGCTTAGAATAGTCAATCGACGGCACCTCTACGTTGAACAAGCCTAGGGGCCAGCCCCTTACACAGTACAATCGTCGTCAAGTGAATAGGCTGCTAGGAACGAAGCCTATGCCTTACCCGCTAGAGTCCCTTAATATGATTAGAAGGAGTGTATGCTTCGCTAGAAGTTGTTACGAGCGGGTAAAGGAAACCAACTGTAGCGCAAAGCAAAAGCTTCGCTGATGACACCTCTGGTATCATTATCCCCTGTTCTGCACTATATAGCTACGTCGGCCAGGACCCCAACTGGTTGGGCTGTAACAGACCTGCTCTTTTGCCTGTAGTCCAACGTGACTATGTGAGGATGATTGAGCGTTTTGCATAAGTTATTGAAATAATTCTCGGAGATATGTAGGGAGAGCTCTACTTCTAAGTCGTAAAATACGAGAGGATGGTACTAAAATTAAGATCGTAAGAGCTGCATGATAGGCTTGACATTTGCCTTAAAGCAGGCTTAAAAGTGTTTCCATGACTGGTTGCTGTCTTCCGTACTCATGTTTGATTCCCTGGTATCTGAGTTTTGCCAGTGATTGCTCATATCTGCGCCTTTGTTAAGGAGAAGCTGCACAATCTCTTGATGGCCTCCAGAAGAGGCAGCCTGGGGAGCGTTGCCATACCTCCCGCCCTGAGCGTTGACGTCTGCGCCTTTGTTGAGGAGAAGCTGCACAATCTTTTGATGGCCTTCAAAAGAGGCAGCCTGGAGAGCGTTGCCATAGTAGCCGCCCTGAGCGTTGACGTCTGCGCCTTTGTTGAGGAGAAGCTGCACAATCTCTTGATAGCCTTTAGAAGAGGCAGCCTGGAGAGCGTTGCCATAGAAGCCGCCCTGAGCGTTGACGTCTGCGCCTTTATTAAGGAGAAGCTGCACAATCTCTTGATGGCCTCCAGAAGAGGCAGCCTGGAGAGTGTTGCCATACCTCCCGCCCTGAGCGTTGACGTCTGCGCCTTTGTTGAGGAGAAGCTGCACAATCTCTTGATAGCCTTTAGAAGAGGCAGCCTGGAGAGCGTTGCCAAACTCGCCGCCCTGAGCGTTGACGTCTGCGCCTTTGTTGAGGAGAAGCTGCACAATCTCTTGATAGCCTTTAGAAGAGGCAGCCTGGAGAGCGTTGCCAAACTCGCCGCCCTGAGCGTTGACGTCTGCGCCTTTGTTGAGGAGAAGCTGCACAATCTCTTGATGGCCTCCAGAAGAGGCAGCCTGGAGAGCGTTGCCATACCTCCCGCCCTGAGCGTTGACGTCTGCGCTTTTGTTAAGGAGAAGCTGCACAATCTCTTGATAGCCTTCAGAAGAGGCAGCCTGGAGAGCGTTGCCATACCTCCCGCCCTGAGCGTTGACGTCTGCGCCTTTGTTAAGGAGAAGCTGCACAATCTCTTGATAGCCTTCAGAAGAGGCAGCCTGGAGAGCGTTGCCATACCTCCTGCCCTGAGCGTTGACGTCTGCGCCTTTGTTGAGGAGAAGCTGCACAATCTCTTGATGGCCTTCAAAAGAGGCAGCCTGGAGAGCGTTGCCATAGTAGCCGCCCTGAGCGTTGACGTCTGCGCCTTTATTAAGGAGAAGCTGCACAATCTCTTGATAGCCTTTAGAAGAGGCAGCCTGGAGAGCGTTGCCAAACTCGCCGCCCTGAGCGTTGACGTCTGCGCCTTTGTTGAGGAGAAGCTGCACAATCTCTTGATAGCCTTTAGAAGAGGCAGCCTGGAGAGCGTTGCCAAACTCGCCGCCCTGAGTGTTGATCTCTGCGCCTTTGTTAAGGAGAAGCTGCACAATCTCTTGATAGCCTCCAGAAGAGGCAGCCTGGAGAGCGTTGCCATAGAAGCCGCCCTGAGCGTTGACGTCTGCGCCTTTGTTAAGGAGAAGCTGCACAATCTCTTGATAGCCTCCAGAAGAGGCAGCCTGGAGAGCGTTGCCAAACTCGCCGCCCTGAGCGTTGACGTCTGCGCCTTTGTTGAGGAGAAGCTGCACAATCTCTTGATGGCCTCCAGAAGAGGCAGCGTAGAGAGCGTTGCTATACCTCCCGCCCTGAGCGTTGACGTCTGCGCCTTTGTTAAGGAGAAGCTGCACAATCTCTTGATGGCCTCCAGAACAGGCAGCGTAGAGAGCGTTGCCATACCTCCTGCCCTGAGCGTTGACGTCTGCGCCTTTGTTAAGGAGAAGCTGCACAATCTCTTGATAGCCTTTAGAAGAGGCAGCCTGGAGAGCGTTGCCAAACTCGCCGCCCTGAGCGTTGACGTCTGCGCCTTTGTTGAGGAGAAGCTGCACAATCTCTTGATAGCCTTCAGAAGAGGCAGCCTGGAGAGCGTTGCCAAACTCGCCGCCCTGAGCGTTGACGTCTGCGCCTTTGTTAAGGAGAAGCTGCACAATCTCTTGATGGCCTCCAGAACAGGCAGCGTAGAGAGCGTTGCCATACCTCCTGCCCTGAGCGTTGACGTCTGCGCCTTTGTTAAGGAGAAGCTGCACAATCTCTTGATAGCCTTTAGAAGAGGCAGCCTGGAGAGCGTTGCCAAACTCGCCGCCCTGAGCGTTGACGTCTGCGCCTTTGTTGAGGAGAAGCTGCACAATCTCTTGATAGCCTTCAGAAGAGGCAGCCTGGAGAGCGTTGCCAAACTCGCCGCCCTGAGCGTTGACGTCTGCGCCTTTGTTAAGGAGAAGCTGCACAATCTCTTGATAGCCTTCAGAAGAGGCAGCCTGGAGAGCGTTGCCATACCTCCTGCCCTGAGCGTTGACGTCTGCGCCTTTGTTGAGGAGAAGCTGCACAATCTCTTGATGGCCTCCAGAAGAGGCAGCGTGGAGAGCGTTGCTATACCTCCCGCCCTGAGCGTTGACGTCTGCGCCTTTGTTAAGGAGAAGCTGCACAATCTCTTGATGGCCTTTAGAAGAGGCAGCGTAGAGAGCGTTGCCATACCTCCCGCCCTGAGCGTTGACGTCTGCGCCTTTGTTGAGGAGAAGCTGCACAATCTCTTGATAGCCTTTAGAAGAGGCAGCCTGGAGAGCGTTGCCAAACTCGCCGCCCTGAGCGTTGACGTCTGCGCCTTTGTTGAGGAGAAGCTGCACAATCTCTTGATGGCCTTTAGAAGAGGCAGCCTGGAGAGCGTTGCTATACCTCCCGCCCTGAGCGTTGACGTCTGCGCCTTCGTTGAGGAGGAATCTGGATACCCTTAAGAGTCCACAGAGACAAGTATAATACAGGCATCTTGCTTTGGGGAACCCAGGATCATCCCTCCAAGGCATGTCGGGCTGATAGAGGTAAGCCCATCGTTTGAAAGTAGTCTCTGCTTGGAAAAAGGTTGCTGTAGCGTTATAAGTTTCATTGGACGATTCTGCTAACCGGGCATGTTCCATTGCTATTTCCGCAGCATATCGTGCCAGAGGGAAGGTCGATCTCATGGCTCGGAAGCTACAATCAATGCCTTTCATATAGGTGAAGCAAGTCCTCGAGATTGCAATGCCGGCCATTTCAGTGTCGAACTCGCTTTGGTTCGCCAGGTACTCTTGTACCGAAAAGTGGGCAAGCCGGACTTCCCATATAGTTGCTTTGCCTCGCGTAACCTCAGCAATTGATATCAAACTGGGACAGTAACGCAGTATATCATCGTCACAGTAAAGCCTGCATCCCTTGTTGAACTCTGGAGGTTCTTTGTCTATCAGGGTAGCAATCACCTCCACGGCTTCAGAGATCGTCAAAGGTCGTTTGGCATGGACAAGAAATTGTAGAAGACGAAATGCGGCTCGTTCAAGGTTCGGCGGTATGGTATGGAGCATACGTCGGTATGTCTCGTTGAGGTCCCCAGGTAAATTATCTAAAGCTTGCTGGGTGTCATAAGCGTTGAGACATTTGGCAAGGCTGTCCAGCTGACACGCCGCCCATCGAAACCTGGACTAAAAGTTAGAGATTGGCAGTACCTTATAACATATCCTGCGCACTTACATTCCATCAGCTCCATCTCCAACCCGACTGCGAATTTGGTCTGCAACATCTTCAGGTATTTTCTTCCTCGTGAAGTCAAACCGCTGATGAAGCTCGTGATCGACATAGGAACGTATGTCAGCGTTCACAGCCTCCTTGCTGAGCATCTTGCAGTTGTCTTTGCCGAAAAGCCGAGGAATCTCGTGCTGAAACTCTGCTTCCGGCCGCCCAGTCACAATGAGCTGGGGTTTCTTTGTGTTCGAGCTACCGGAAAGTCGCCCAACCCAGGAAAGTAGCTCATCTTTGGTTGTGCATTCATCCAAAGCGTCTAGGACGATGGCGGTTCTGGGGGAGCTCCGTAACATCGACTCAACACAGGCCGAAAGAGCGCTGACGTCTGGTTGCCGGCGGCCATCGTCGCTAGACATGAACAGTCTATTGAGTATGTTTGTGGCCTCTATCCCCGTGTGATGCAGTTGAAAGGCCAATGAGCGTAACAAGTCCTCTAGTGTTTGCTTCCTTGTGTCGGTGAAATCGAAAAAGAACCTTAGGGTAAGGTATGCTCCTGTTTTGTCGAGATGATCAAGAACTGTTGTGCTCAGAACCGTCTTGCCACATCCCGCAAGACCATATAGCCATAAGTGCTGGCGTTTTCCAGCCTCCCACTCAAGAAATGCATCATTTCCCAATAGCCAGACTCCAGTGCCAGCGTGCCGGAGTTCTCTCGCTCTCGTCGCATTGGTTGACGGATCTGCAGCTGATAGCCAGCGACTAAGCTTCTCAACATGCTGATTGTGTCTGGAGGCTATCATAGCGGTCTTCGTTTGATTCGCGACGTCATGTATAGAGCTGAGATTTGTTTCGACTATATTGAATTAGATAGTGATAATAGAACTCAGGTTCCCATACTAACGTCGGCCCAACACCTCCCCTAGTGGCTTCTCGGCCTCGACCTTGTTCAGTGGTATCTGACGCAAGAGGTCCGTCGCATAAGCAGCCGCCGTCATGGCCGCGAACCCTTGCCATTTCTTGTTCTTGTGCGAGTCAGAGTAGTCGCAGATTCCGCGGATTACCAGACATGGGAAATGGTTCATCAGACCAGCAGCCTCCATCTCAAAGCAAAGGACACCATATTTTTCCGATAATTTATCCCTAATTCTAGCATCTTTCATCAGCTGGTTCGCGCTCGCAATCAGACCATAGTGAATTGCAGGGTTGTCGTCATATTGACCTCGTTTTGGCCGGTCGATCAAATGTGTCGGGTCGCCACCACATAAGCTGTCGCATCCGTCTGATGCGTCCTGATGGATGACTTCGGATCGGTGGAGCCTGTCGCTCTCAGTGGGAGGCCTTGAGTACTCCGCTTTCAGTCTAGGCCATCGTTCCAACGCCGTTTCTACAGCAGTATTCAGCTGATGTCCTTTTCTTTTGTACCGACTCTTGAGCGCGTTAACGGCCGTTCGCAATACTGTAGGTGGCTGGTCCAAAAAGTCGGTGTGTTGGAAGGAGATGTCCCGGTCCTGAACAGCCTTTCCGAAGTCGTACTGGAAGACGCCGCCTTTGCCCCCGTCCCGACTGCTAACAACGATGTCTCCAAGCCGGACGTCATGCTTCGGACTGGGCGCGCCGCCGCCGATACCGACCATGAGCCCGATGCGCACATTCGGAAAGGTGTGCAGCATGTCCCGCGCCACGGCTGCTGCGGCATTTGTGCCGTATTCTCCATCAGGCAAAACAGCGATCACGACATTATGACTGCCGATTCGACCCAGGGCATAGTTGTTGTTGTCTCTTTGAGCGACCGGGGGCTGGTCTTCGTGTTCTTCGTCGAGGAAGATCTGTGCTGCGTCGAATTCAGTGGGAATAGCGCATATCCAGCCGACTGTGTATTTTGTGGCGTCTGCCATGACTGAAGCTTAATCACTAGTAAAAAGCAAAGCTGTGATTGTTGATAAAATACGAGCGCGTCCGTTAGGTAAGATTAGAAGGCAAGCGAATGGGAAGAACGATGGCAAGAGCAAGGACAAGACAAGTCAGAAGGTGGGAGGTCAGGATTACCCGTCTTTTCACCTACTGCCCGCGTGAGATCAGGCTCTGGCTGTGTGACAAGGTTATGAGCGCCTCCATGCAGCAGGATGCAGCAGGCTGAGCCGTCTGTGAATTTGATTCGTTGTGTATGCTGGCTGCCTCTTAGACACAGGTCTTGGGCGTGAGGCATGTGGGCATCTGTGGTCGAATTAGGAGCCAATTACCACCGCAGATGGGCTCCAGGCCAGTCATACGATGAACAGCCCCTACGTCGGATGCTTTACATGATGCAGTGGAAATCGACCTTAAGAGGTTGTTGCCTGAAAAAAAAAAAAAAAAACCGCTACGAGACCAGCGCGACAACAATCCTTATGTCGGTTCCTAACGACCGGTCCGAAGATAAGATCACACAATGATTTTCAAGGGCGACAGTTTAGAGACAGTTGCGAGGATGGAGCCAGCATTTCCACGCTGGTGTCAGATAAGACTATCCGAATATGGATACGTCAGACACAAGGATTGCATATTCAGAGTATGCATATAACACCTATTTCTTCGAATATTCCGATGTCGGATTCCAGGAAGAACACACCGACTTTTCCTTCAACAATCAACAACAAGAACCAACACCAGCATCGTCATGATGATAGATTGATCAATACATACGCTCATTCAAGTGTCCTCTATCTTGACTGCCTCATACACAATCTTGTGGCAGCTGGCAAGCGACTGAAGCTCTACACCTACTCCCGCGGTAACTAACTAGCATTCACTTACTGTATCCGTTGCGATCTTACTCTGTGGTCCAATTTGCACAAAATTCCTGCACAGCCCTGTCCATCGTTGCGATGCAAGCCTCTCTGAGAATCTGCTGGTCGAAACGAGCGCCGTAATCCAAGAGCATGTTCATGATACTCACGTTGCCTCGCTCCAAAGCCCAAGATAGAGGCTTACGGTCATTTTCTCCCCTTACGTCTGGGTCGGCGCCGCTCTCCAGGAGCAGCTTGACGCAGTCTTGATAGCCGTACAAAACGGCGATGGACAGTGGCGTGTTCCCGTACTCATTACGAAGGTTGACATTCTCGGCATAGGTGCAGGCAGATGCCAGCGGCCCAGGAAGCCTCAGCGCTTCCTCGTCGTTGCGAAGGAGATACTTCAGAACCGCCAGCTGGCTCGTCTCTTCCAGAGGCTCAGGAAATCTGGGCGCGCCGGACAGGAGGTGGAGCGCTGTGTCGCCTAGAGCACCCTGCACGAGGGGATCCATCCCGCTGTGGAGCAGAAATTTCACCGTCTCCACCTTGTCAGGAAACTGGTCTGTAGTGGCACGTAGAAGGAAATGCAGAACATTGTCACTACCGCGGTCCATCCCCTTGTTGAGATCTGACCCGGGGGCTCGCAGCTGCTCAATTAGGAGAGATCCTGAGATGGGGATGCCGCTTTCCATGAGGCCGAGGGCCATGGTGGTGTCTCCATGCACGATGGCTCGCACAACACGCTCGAGAGCCTCCGGCTCTGGGTCGGGGCTACGGTCTCCAGGGTCACGATTGAGCGTCAGGCTAGAGCTGTACGCTGGCGGCGAAGAATCCGACGGCGATCCAGCCCATGTGTACGTCTCGTCAGAGAGCTCACTGCTCAGGCTGTCGGCTACGGACGAGGGCATCTTTCTCTGGCGAAATCACTTGATCCGCAACGGGGGAGGGGGGAGTGACGACAATGGTAATGGCAGTCTTGTTCTCCATTGGCCGCGAAGTGGAGGTTGATGATGGAGATTGGAGAGGTGTGGTGGGCAGGCAGTGAGAGACGGATAATATAGTGTTGTCGTCTGGCGTTGCGCCCCAAGCCTTGAGGGGATTCCGAAAACCTGACATCTGCTGTCTGGTTTGTGTACTCCGGCTTCGAGTTCCGCCATCCGATTACTCTCGTCACCGACGTTGGTGGCCTGCTGCCCAATTCCGCCTCCGACCGGGAGCACGCCAGATCGACGTTATCCCTTTAGGTGCGAGAGAGAAATGGCTCACACTTCAGTCCCACAAACCCACAAAGTGACATTAGTTACTAAGCGTAGCCTATTAATACGCCCCGTGTAAGTGGCTTTAGAAAGGCGGCCCCTGTAGGGTAGGGGACTCTAGCGGGCTACTCTTAAACCCGGGGGTCTAAGACGCTGGGAATAAGCTCGGGCCGCATGTACTTCCGCTTATCGACGCTTATCGATTGGCCCCAAATTTTTGAGTGGGGCACTGGCGCAGCCAGCAACTCACCAGCCAAGCTGTAGCCGTAGCGACGAACGACAGTTATGGCTTAGGACACTCATGGTTTACGACGCAGAAATCATGCACAAGTCTTTCACGTTATGAATAACAAAAGGAGATCTATTGGTGTTATACCTTCTGAAAATACAAAAGCAACCCGTTATTCGGAAAACACAAGAGTCGCTAAGGGTTCACTTCAAGTGCCACTCGCCACAGTCTACCATCCCTTGTCCGAGCGTATTCATTTAGCCCATCTGTTTCCCAGTCTACCTGGCCGGCCAGTGATGGTATACGGCCATCTGGAAAAGACGCTTTAAATGTGCCGAGATGCCAAACGCCTTGCATATTTGGTTGAAGCAAAACGCGTCCGCGAGATTTCAAGTTAGGTGGTTCCGTTGCGGTTTGAAGCGCAGTAGGACAGTTGCAGCTAACCACAGAGTCCACGACGGCCAGGTCATGATTATGAGAGACACCATCACGGCGGTATAGCAGATACATACATGCCGCTTTGCTCAGGTTGTAGATAGGCCTATGGTGACGATGGAGAAATCACGGCAGCCACGGGCGGCGGTACACATCTTTGTGCGCCTCGTTGAGAAGCCAGGAAGCGACGCAAACTTGCGTCTTGCCTGCCTGGCGCCTTGCTTATGTGCAGGGGTGGCCAGTGTGGCCTCTACGCGCTCGGGCACGAGGAAGATACCTGCGGAGGAAGCTAGCAGGCGATCCGTACCGAGCCCTGTTTAGAACGCCCGCCAACGCTAACAGCCCCGGAGTATTTTAGGAGGGTGTCGACCACGAAGCAGCATCCAGCATCGCATCGCCACGGGCAATGCAGTCAGTCGTATGAGCCCCCCGTGGGTCTAGATAGATTAAGTTGGGACTGGTTCTAGCGCCTGTCATAGCGTGCGAAGCAGGTTAGGGCCCTGAACGAGGCCGACATTGGCAGGGGCATCACACTTTGGCGTTGCAATAAAGCTGGGTAGAAGAAGGAAAAAGAAGGGTGAGACCACGACCCTTCAGCCTTATGGTACCTAACAAACTCAGGTTTGCCGCTCCGGTAGCCTCAGGACCATGTGAGCCACAATGCAGTCACTGTTGTGGCGCCCAGTAATGATGGCAGCACAGCTCAGCCGCCGGCTGCATTTTCATGTAGTGTGTCCTGCATCTGCACTATGCCTCATCGACAGCTTCTGTATGAGGCCTCGCACAGCGATAGACAGGGGCGGGACGCATCACGCAGCAACGATCAATAATCAATAAAAAAGCAATAGTACTGTATATGCTCATTTGTACACTTACGCTGTCAACTAGCAGAGGCAGGCATGCTTACACGCTCTGTTTAGCTTGATTTAGGCGACGAGACGCCCGCCTGGTCAGCTCTTTTAACAACACCAGAAAAACCTACAGCATAATATTCATTACTGCGATGTACAGCTCTCAGGATCTCACCGTCTAACTCCGCCGGCTATAATCTCCAAATCACCCCGCTCTTCAGCTCGGGGCAACGTCTTTTAACCATAAGCATGAGTTAGCGCCAACAGCCTAAGTGCTATTCTTACATAACTAGAGAGAACAAAGGTACCTGGAATGACACATTCTACTATCACTAACCTCTCGCACACCTATTGTCACAAGAGTGTGTATGAGGCAGTCAAAATAGAGGATAATTGAATGAGCGTATATATTGATCAATCCATGATGATGATGATGATGGTGATGTTGGTAGAAAGAAAAGTTCTTGTGTTCTTCCTGGAATCCGACATCGGAATATTCGGAGATATAGGTGTTATATGCATACTCTGGATATGCAATCCTTGTGCCTGACATATCCATATTCGGATAGTCTTATCTGACACCTATAGTATGCGATCCCGCACAATCGGATAGAAAGCGTTATGCAGAAGTTACAGCCTAGCAGAGTCGCTTGCATCTTGGTCAACTTCTCTGCCGCCGCTCGGTCAGATGATGCCGGCCTCGCAACGCCTTCCACCCAAAACAACAGATAACCGACCATAAACCAACTTCGCCCAATGACCGAGCTGGATCCCGACATCTACTCTGTGGTATGGATCGCCCCTCTCGAGATCGAGGCCCAGGCGGCCTTGCGCATGCTTGACCGACGACACCGCGGCCGATTTCCCCTATGTCGCGGCGACGACTACGTGTTCCACGCTGGCGACATGTGCGGGCATAGCATTGTCATCGCAACTCTGCCTGCCGGCCAGGAATACGGCACTGGCTCAGCCGCTGCGCTCGCCAGTCAGGTCAAGAAGTTCTTCCCCAGCCTGTGGTTTGGGCTGCTGGTCGGGGTCGCCGCCGGCCTTCCGAATCTCTCGCGGACCCCGCCGCGCGATATTCGTCTTGGCGACGTTCTGGTCGCTCTCCCCGACGGCGACAGCGCCGGGCTGGTGGCCTACGACTTGGGCAAGGAAACGGGGCCAGACGGCTTCCAGCTCCTTCGCTTCGGACACGTGCTAGCTACCACAGAGACCGTCGTCAGGTCTGCCATTGGCAGCATCAAGCTCAACGCGCCGAACGACGCCGACATCTTTCTCCCCTACTACCAGAACGTGAAGGACCAGGAACACGCCACGGGTACGTTTGCCGACCCCGGCCAGGACTATGACACGCTCTACGAGGCCGACGAGCATGGCGGGGAGAGGCGAGTAGAGCGGCGGCAGCGGCCAGATTCCCGGCGCACTCGAGTGTGGTACGGTCCAATAGGCTCCGGGGAGAAGCTGGTGAAGAACGCCCGGAAGAGGAACGAGCTGAGGGACATGTATAACGTCATTGGGCTCGAAATGGAGGCGGCCGGCACCATGAACCGCATTCCTGTTGGCGTTATTCGCGGCGTTTGTGATTACGGAGATGAGCACAAGAATAAGGAATGGCAGCCGTATGCCGCCGCGATGGCGGCTGCGTATGCAAAGGCTGTCCTGTCAGAGATTCTCCCGAGGACTATGCCATCTACAAGCCCACCTGTCCCAGCGCCAGGACAGGGAGGTCCTGTTTTTAATGGGCCGATTTCCGGGCATAATGTAATTGCGGGGATGTCCACCTCAGGGGGCACAGCGAACATAAGCTTTTCTTAACTACATCTACTCTTACGTTTTCTATAAAGAATATAGATAAAGTTATTATTCTGCCCTACTATAGTATGTAACACTAGTAGATCTCGCTGAATGCACCGTTGATTAGACCTATTGGAGAAGACACAGCTGCACAGCCAAATCCGGGCAATCAGGCAGCGCAACATCAATCAACCGAATGGGAGTCGGCGTATGATACAGCCTGCTTGTCAGATAAGGCTATCCGAATATGGATATGTCAGGCACAAGGATTGCATATCCAAGGTATGCATATAACACCTATATCTCCGAATATTCCGATGTCGGATTCCAGCGAGAACACACCGACTTTTCCTTCTTTTATCATCATCATTATCATCATGGATTGATCAATATACACGCTCATTCAATAATCCTCTATGTTGACTGCCTCATACACACTCTTGTGACACTGCTGCAGGTAAGCCTTGTGTGGGTCTCGGAGGCCTCAGCATTATGCGACTGTTTTCCCCGCAACCTGTGTGCGAATAGTCACCAGAAACAACATTTCCTACTCATCACCATCTATCAGAACGATCCGCAACCGACGTACACCAGTGTCATGGCTGAATCCATCTTCAACGGAGAGATCCACGGACGAAACGTTGTAGCCGCCCCGCACGCGGCGCACTGTGGGACGAACAACTTCTATTTCGCTGATAATGGTCAATCGAAACCCCGCCAGCCGTTCTCGACCGTCCCCTTTCGACTGGACCCTGACTTCGTCGAACGGCCTGCCATCACCGCCTGGCTGCGCGGTAAATGTGCTCAACCAGCAAGTCGGGCCGCCCTCGTAGGGCTGGGCGGCATCGGGTACGTGCTCCTCTGTGCGTCTATGTCATGTCATCTCCTCTAATAACCGCAGGAAATCACAGCTGGCCATTCACTACGCGCACGAAATACGGCAACGCTCGCCAAACACATACGTATTTTGGGTGCATGCGAGCACCAATGCGCGATTCGAGGAGGCATATCGTGATATCGCGGAGAGGCTGCAGCTTCCTGGCCGCTCTGATCCCAATGTCGATGTGATGCAGCTGGTGTACCGCTGGCTGAGCACCGAGGAGAACGGACCATGGCTGATAGTTGTCGATAATGCCGATGACATAAGTATCTTCTATTCGACACCCGACCGCGGTCAAAGTACGCCCATCAACCCCACAGCACAACGGCCGCCCATCTCCTTCCTACCACAAAGCAGCAACGGGATGATTCTCGTTACATCGCGGAGCAAGGAAGTGGCTGCACGACTGGTGGGCAGTCAGTGGAGTATCTCATCAATTCAGGCAATGGACGAATCTGAGGCACTGCAGCTGCTCCAACACAAACTGCGGGAGCATTATAATGGAGACGTTGCGCCTTACTTGGTTCAAGCGCTCGAGTATATGCCTCTGGCCATCACACAGGCAGCAGCGTATATTCTCCGAGAAGCGCCTCTTGTGTCTCTGTCTACATACTTAACTGAGTTTCAGAGGAGCGAGAAGAAGAAGGCTGGTCTCCTCAATAGAGATATGGGTGATGATCGACGCGACCTAAGCGCCTCTAACTCGATTATTACGACATGGCGGATCACGTTTGACAAGATTCGTCAGGAGAGGCAATCGGCGGCCGACTTGTTGGTATTTATGAGCTTCTTTAATCCACAGGGAATTCCAGACTGGGTAATCAGGAGTTACCAGCGCGGAAGGGAAAATAAGGAGGCCAATTTTAAGGATAAGTTCCGAAGTGGTCAGGACACTAACAGTAATAGTGGTAACGATGATAGCGAGGATGATGAGTTTGACGATGATCTCAGCATGCTCCGCAAGTTCTCCCTGGTGACAGTAACTGCACACAAGGGCGTGTTGGAGATACACGCACTCGTACAGTTCTGCACGAGAAACTCGCTTTCATCGTCTGACACACGGATATGGAGGCGGAAGTTCCTGCAGGTCATGTCAAGAGAGTTCCCGAGTGGGAATTACGAAAACTGGGCCAAGTGTCGAGAGCTAGACCCGCATGTCGAGCTGCTGATCAAGAAGAAGCCTAAAAACGAGGAAGACGCTAAGGATTGGGCTCACTTGCTCACAAGTGTAGGATGGTATAAATGGAGTATTGGTCTGTATGAAGTGGCAAACAGAGCGCTACAAGAGGCGGTTGAAGTAAGGCAGAAGGTTCTCGGCGTCCAGGGTACGGACACGCTTTTGAGTATCGCCATTCTTGCTAGCGTGCTACAATACCAGGGAAAGTACGAAGAGGCAGAGCAGATGAATCGACAGGCACTAGACGGCTATGAGAAGGCTCTAGGCAAAGAGCATCCCGACACCCTCACAAGCGTCAGCAATCTTGCTTTAGTGCTACGATACCAGGGAAAGTACGAAGAGGCAGAGCAGATGAATCGATAGGCACTAGACGGCTATGAGAAGGTTCTAGGCAAAGAGCATCCCAACACCCTCACAAGCGTTTATTGCCTAGTTTACCTCGTCCAGAAGCAAGGGCGTCTTGAAGAGGCAAATGAACTGGATGATCGGGCTTACGTCGGGTATGTAGAAGTAAGAACCCCACCCAAGTGATGGATCACTCCCCACCTCGGATCACCACTTTTGCATGCTTTTGACCCCCTAACGCCATGATTATATTTTTACGTTCTATGGAATTTCTCCATGGCTTCGCAAGGATGATGCATGATGATATGCCTCCCTCATCATCAGAAGATTCGCTATCGATTGATACTATTTTTGACTTGGTGGGACATTTTTGCACTTCCCATTTCTTCTTCTGAATGTCTTCGATTGCCACGAAGCGTGCATTTGGCTTCGGCTTGACCTTGCCACGTTTGATAGGCTTGTATTTCTCTAGCTGGGCCTCCAGAGATTGGATGACTTGCTGGTCATCTGCTGCAGCCATATTATTGAGGTCTAGGGTCTTCCCCAGCTTCTTGAAGAAGAGGATCCGCACCGTGGGGTCGACGGGACGATCTCCCCATGCCGTCGACCTCAACCTGTCACCGAAAAGCCATCGCATCTGGTGCAAATTAGCTGATTTCTTCAGTGTTTTGATTGTGATGCCTTCTGGGGTCTGTTTATCGTTCGTAGGTCTTGAATGCCATGCCGGGACGCGCGGAACGTCGGTTGGGGCGGGGGTATAGATGAACTGGCTCATGAGAGGCTTCGGGACGTTGACAGGCCACATCCCCGTTGCCTTCCATCCTGATTTGATGGCATGTGGTTGCAGGGCATGCCGACGCGCATGCGAATAGCATCGCAAGAAGTTCTGCTTGCTGATCGGCGCAGAGTTGAGGAGGTAGTTCCGTTCTGTGAGATAGGTCCTATAGGACCACTTAAGAGGCGCAAACACCAACACATCGAGGGGCTGCGTGATGTGAGATGAATGGGCAGGTAGGCAGGCTAAGTATATGTCATTAATGTGACATTACCACATGAAGTCGTCGCTGACGTGGCTTCAATGGCCGTCTATGATGAGTAGACGCTTGGAACGCAGTCTCTTCGCCGCTGCTGCCGTCTCCGGTATGAATATGTTCTCCAGCCAGTCGACGCCGATGCTGTTGGACGTCCGACCATTCACAGTCGATACGAAGTGCCATGGGTCGAATTCTGAGAGATCCTCGGGGAACCATTGATGCTGAATCGTCTTGCCCTTGAAGATGACCAGGGGCGAGAGATGGCTGCCGTCAGCGCCGATACATTCGACTATGGACGTCCAGGTGTGGTCATTAGAGCTCTGGACGAACACAGAAGTTGACGACGATGGCTATGGTATTCGCAACGCCGCAGGGGATGTAGATGCAGGGATGCCCCCGCCGCCGCCGTTTCGACGCCGCGCCCCCCGCTCAAGTCAACAGGGACCCTCGTCGTCGTCGTCGAGGGTCGCCTGGCCACGCGAGGCCTTGCGGCTGTTCCTGATCTTGGTTCAGGAGCAGGTCAACGAGGGTGTATTTCCTAATAATCGAGGCTCGAACCTCAATCGAGCGATGGGTAATATACTGCCGCAGATGCAGGCAGAGTTTCCAGAGCCGCCGGGATACACTTCAAGACTCTCGCCAACAAGTACAAGTCATTGTCGTGTGATTGGCGCAAGGTCAAGTGCCTCCTCCGCTCGGACGTAGGCTACGACAACGACTCTGGTATGATATATACGTCAGAAGATTGCTGGCAGGACTTGATCGCCAAGAACCCTTACCTGCGGGCCATCAGAGAGAAGGGCTTCCCGTTTATCGACGAGATGAGAGTCTTGTGGCCGGATGAGGTGTCGACGGGCCAGTATATCGTCGAGGCAAGCGGTGCCAACGCCATCGAGATCACCTCTAACGACGAGGATGAGGCGGATGAAGTTGGGGTGGCCATCGGCGAGCCCTCTAGACGCCAGAAGAGGAAGCGGTCGAATCGCACCGACCCCAACGAAAATCCTATCGCGAGTGACACCGCACCCGACGTAGCCTCATCGGCAGAGCCAGTACGCCGCTGCTTGACGAGGCAGGGCGAGGAGAGGAGTCACCAGTTCGACAAATTCGGTGGGCGTATCGAGCGGGGGATTAGTCGACTCGGAGAGGCCATCTCCTCCCCTCGTGAGGTAGGCTCGGGAGACGTCGACGCGGCAAGCCGTGATTCTCAGGCGTTTACTAGTAGTAAAAAATACATGGTTTTTTTCTGATATTATCGGCCTTTTTTGCCAACTCAACTACGTCAAAAAAGTGTCGGAATAACACGTCGACGTCGAAATCTAGCTGTGGCAAGTGGTGTGGCGGTCCGTGGCTGACGGCCATAACCCGGCCTCACTGGCAATGGTGCATATGCTGCAATGGACGGCGCTTAATGCGATCGCTGAAAGTGGTGGCAGGACCCGAAGGCGATTGGGTGCAGATGCAGGCTATTACCCCTCCGCAGTAGTACGGGCCATTTCGCCTTGGAAAACCATCCAAAGAGCTTCTTACTGGGGTCTTGGGGGGACCGTCGAGAACAGCCTGCCAACTGGCAAAGAGTGGCTGACGAGGATGCGAAGCAGCAAGGCAGATCTTCTCTTGGGGTGTCGGAGAAGCAGTGCAATTGGTGCCCTCCTTCGGTGAGCGAGTCTTCACCATCCAAAATTTACTCAAGAGCTGGGATAGGTGAATTTTGCCTAGAAGTCTCACCGGCATATGCATTGTTACCTGAATATATAGCATCTAATTACTTATCAGCCACTGTTCAGCTTAACTGGCTTAACTATAATGCATGTCTCGACGACAGCTTGCATTAGCGCAGTTTGTGCGATGATGACTGGCTTCTGTGTAGAGTGACCTGTGGGCTGACAGCACCATAGCCGCCCTGTTTGGAGAGACTTGCCAGTGGGCGGTCTCCAGAAGACCCACTCAACTCTTTTGTGGAGCGCCGCCGAGCGTTAGCAGTGGTTGCACACCCTTCCCCACCCACATCGAGGATCCGTTGTTAGCTGGTGTTGTCAAGGCTCTGCAGTGAACACGACGGCCGCCATCTCAGCAGGTGGACTACAGAGCCTGCAGCAGCAATTCATTCTCAAGTCATCTCGTACTGCAGCTCCCCAGCGAGGACCTTATAATGAGATGCTAAGGTCTGTGAAATGGTAATGGAAAAATGGTAGCTGTAAACTAGTTTGAGCAGGGCTGCCAGGCTTGTTTCCTCCCTGAAGAGGGGGCGTGTCAAACGGCGTGTGGTCTCTGCCTTGGCGACGCCACTAGCTGCTGTTCTCCGCGACGCGCATAACCGCTATCACACGTCAGCATTGGCGATAAAACGCCTTACCAAAGCCTGCTGCTCTGAGATCAAGGGTAAGGCTGTGCCCTAGTGCCCACATAGAGGACGTCCTGAAAACATCTTTTGAGACCAGTATCGCCATTCATCAAGCCTCAGCTACCATCAAAGTGCTCCCCTTCCACGAGAGCATAATGGCATCCTTGAAGCGACTTCCGAACCCTCAGATGTACACCATCGGGTGGATCACCGCTCTTGACAAGGAGCTCACCGCAGCGCAGGCTGTGCTTGATGAAGAGCACCAAAAGCCGGAAAACTTCAGAAAACACCCAAAAGACACAAACAACTATATCTGGGGCCGGATCGGAGACCACAACATCGTCATCGCCTCGCTAGCTGCTGGAAAGTACGGCACCGTGTCCGCAGCCACGACCGCATGGAGCATGATCAGCTCTCTTCCACACCTTCGGTTCGGCCTCATGGTCGGTATTGGCGCCGGCATTCCCAGGCTAGCCGACAACATCGACATCCGCCTCGGCGACGTTGTCGTCAGCCAGCCGACTGGGGCAAGCCCGGGAGTCGTGCAGTACGATGTAGGGAAGTTGGAAAGCGACGGCCATTTCAAGCGTGTCGGTTCTCTTGCTCCTCCGCCTGAGGTCCTTCTCAAAGGATTGGCAACACTCAAGGCCAAACGAAGACTCGGAGGACCTCGAGTACGCGGCATCCTAGATGATATGCTCCAACGCCATCCCCTGTTGGCAGAAGCAGAACCAGATGACGCTGCGTTTGTTCACCAAGGGGCGCAAAACGACCGGCTATTCGAAGCATCCTCAGTACATGTTCAAAACCCGGACCGGCAAAGCGCAGTGTCTTCGGCGGGAACAGTTCCGCGTGATGTCAATAAGCTTTATTTTCAGTTGGCGCTGGCCTGGGTTTGGTCATTCTTCTGGCTGGTCTTCGCCTCTGTGAGAACCCCGGCCACATCCAACATTACGAGGACAATCCCACCATCAGATGCAACCCTTCAAGAGCTCGGCCAGACGAGAGCCTGTGAGCATTGCGATCCTGGGAAGGAAATAGGCCGACGACAACGACGATCCACCGATCCCGTAGTTCACTATGGCCTCATTGCTTCCGGCAACTCGGTCGTAAAGGACGGTGTTTCTCGGGACGACATAGTACGACGACTTGGAGACAAGTGCATTTGCTTTGAGATGGAGGCAGCTGGTCTGATGGATAATTTCCCCTGCCTTGTGATCAGAGGAATCTGCGACTATGCAGACACCCACAAGAACGATCGCTGGCAGAACTATTCCGCAGCAACAGCCGCCGCTTTCGCAAAGGAACTACTGGAAGTGATCGACGGCGATGATGTAGAAGGATCCTTAAGAGCCGATGAAATCATGCAGTGTTAGTATTTCATAATCACATTGAAAGCTTCATTACTTATATTCCTTACAGTACGTGAGGATGTTTTCCAAATCCGATTAGCCACAAAAGAAATGCAACAGGACCTACATTTCCAGGAAATCATGAATTGGCTGTCCCCGCCGGATCCATCAACAAATGACAACAAGGCCTTGCAACAACGCCATGAAGGCACAGGTCAATGGTTCCTTGATAGCCAAGAATACTCAAAATGGAAAACAACGCAAAAGTCCTCTCTGTGGCTTTACGGTATCCCCGGCTGTGGGAAGACAATCATGAGTTCCATCGTCGTCAAGGACCTCCGTAACACTGAGCCTTATGCTGAAAGCTTTCTCTACTTCTATTTCGACTTCACCGACACTAGCAAGCAGTCGCTTGAAAAGGCAATTCGGTCACTGATCGCTCAGCTGTACTGCAACAGCCAGAATGTTCAAGCGCCTCTGGACTCACTGTACTCCTCTTGCAAAAGTCCATCACGACAGCCGAGTATCGACATACTGAGCACAACCTTTGAGGCCATGGTTCAACAGATCGGCGAAGTATGGATCGTCCTGGATGCACTCGACGAATGCCAGACGAGGACAGGCCCAAGGAACGAAGGATTACTACATTGGATTGAACGCGTTTTACACTCACCACAGTTAAACATCCACCTTCTTATCACAAGTCGCCCTGAACACGATATTAAATCAGCATTAGAAAGATTTGTGGACGATCAAATCATTCTCCAGAGCGACCTTGTCACGGAAGATATACGTGCGTATGTTCACGGAACAGTGAGAAACTATGAAGGGTTTAAAAGATGGCGATCAAATGAAGAAGTTCAATACGAGATCGAAAGCCATCTGATGGAGAAAGCTAACGGAATGTGAGATAAGACCAACACCCTTAACTCCTATTGCTAAGTTAGATAGGTTTCGCTGGGTTTCATGCCAACTCGAAGCTCTCGAAAAATGTCCCAGTCAGCAAAGCCTTAGCCGAACACTGCACTCGCTGCCAAGAACGCTAGACGAAACGTATGAGAGGGTCCTAAATGGGATTCCAGATCAATACATACTGGAGGCGATGCGACTTTTGCAGTTTCTTGCCTTTTCCGAACGGCCACTACGGGTTGAAGAAGCTGTCGACGTAATTGCTGTAGACACCGAAAAAACGCCCCGGTTTGACGCCAAAAACAGAATGCCACAACCGGACGAAATCTCCATCTACTGCTCAAGTCTAGTAGCTGTTGTTACTCAAGGTGAAAGCGGAGATAATGGAGTGAAGGAGCTTCAGCTCGCGCATTTCTCGGTGAAGGAATACCTCATATCCAACCGACTACAGCAGGATATCTCCAGGACCTTCACGGCGGCACAGGCTAGAGCCTCTATTACAGAGGTCTGCCTTGCATACCTTTTGGAGCTGGACCACAGCTTTTCGTCAGAATGGGTCAGAATATTATACCCACTTGCACAATATGCTGCACGATACTGGATGAGCCATGCTATTCAAGCCGAGAAGGGCAGGGTCCATGAGCTTATTAGAGAGTTTTGTTTAGATGAGGACTCTCCACAAATGTCCTACCGGCTCTATAAGCCAGACAAACCATGGGAAAAAGGACATGAAGGTTCTCAGAGAGATAAGACTGAAGTACTATACTATATAGCGTGTGGAGGGATTATGTCTGCAGTAGAAGACCTATTAAAGAGCGGAGCAGATGTTAACGCTCAGGGTGGCTGGTACGGCAACGCTCTCCAAGCCGCTTCAGCAGAAGGCCACCAAGAGACCGCCCAGATGCTCCTCAGCAACGGAGCAGATGTCAACGCTCAGGGTGGCTTCTATGGCAACGCTCTCCAAGCTGCTTCAGCAGAAGGCCACCAAGAGATCATCCAGATGCTCCTCAGCAACGGAGCAGATATTAACGCTCAGGGTGGCCACTATGGCAACGCTCTCCAAGCCGCTTCAGCAGAAGGCCACCAAGAGATCATCCAGATGCTCCTGAACAACGGAGCAGATATCAACGCTCAGGGTGGTAAGTATGGCAACGCTCTCCAAGCTGCTTCAGCAGAAGGCCACCAAGAGACCGCCCAGATACTCCTGAACAACGGAGCAGATATTAACGCTCAGGCTGGTGAGTATGGCAACGCTCTCCAAGCCGCTTCAGCAAAAGGCCACCAAGAGACCGCCCAGATACTCCTGAACAACGGAGCAGATGTCAACGCTCAGGCTGGCCTCTATGGCAACGCTCTCCAAGCCGCTTCAGCAGAAGGCCACCAAGAGACCGCCCAGATGCTCCTCAGCAACGGAGCAGATGTCAACGCTCAGGGTGGCCTCTATAGCAACGCTCTCCAAGCCGCTTCAGCAGAAGGCCACCAAGAGATCATCCAGATGCTCCTCAGCAACGGAGCAGATATTAACGCTCAGGGTGGCCACTATGGCAACGCTCTCCAAGCCGCTTCAGCAGAAGGCGACCAAGAGACCGCCCAGATACTCCTGAACAACGGAGCAGATATTAACGCTCAGGCTGGTGAGTATGGCAACGCTCTCCAAGCCGCTTCAGCAAAAGGCCACCAAGAGACCGCCCAGATGCTCCTCAGCAACGGAGCAGATGTCAACGCTCAGGCTGGCCTCTATGGCAACGCTCTCCAAGCCGCTTCAGCAGAAGGCCACCAAGAGACCGCCCAGATGCTCCTCAGCAACGGAGCAGATGTCAACGCTCAGGGTGGTGAGTATGGCAACGCTCTCCAAGCTGCTTCAGCAGAAGGCCACCAAGAGACCGCCCAGATGCTCCTCAGCAACGGAGCAGATGTCAACGCTCAGGGTGGTAAGTATGGCAACGCTCTCCAAGCTGCTTCATGGGGAGGCGACCAAAAGATCGTCCAGATGCTCCTGAACAACGGAGCAGATATCAACGCTCAGGGTGGTGAGTATGGCAACGCTCTCCAAGCTGCTTCAGCAAGAGGCGACCAAGAGACCACCCAGATGCTCCTGAACAACAGAGCAAATGTTAACGCTCAGGGTGGCTTCTATGGCAACGCTCTCCAAGCCGCTTCAGCAAGAGGCGACCAAGAGACCACCCAGATGCTCCTGAACAACAGAGCAAATGTTAACGCTCAGGGTGGCTTCTATGGCAACGCTCTCCAAGCCGCTTCAGCAAGAGGCGACCAAGAGACCACCCAGATGCTCCTGAACAACAGAGCAAATATTAACGCTCAGGGTGGTGAGTATGGCAACGCTCTCCAAGCTGCTTCATGGGGAGGCGACCAAAAGATCGTCCAGATGCTCCTGAACAACGGAGCAGATATCAACGCTCAGGGTGGTGAGTATGGCAACGCTCTCCAAGCTGCTTCATGGGGAGGCGACCAAAAGATCGTCCAGATGCTCCTCAGCAACGGAGCAGATGTCAACGCTCAGGGTGGTAAGTATGGCAACGCTCTCCAAGCTGCTTCATGGGGAGGCGACCAAAAGATCGTCCAGATGCTCCTGAACAACGGAGCAGATATCAACGCTCAGGGTGGTGAGTATGGCAACGCTCTCCAAGCTGCTTCAGCAAGAGGCGACCAAGAGACCACCCAGATGCTCCTGAACAACAGAGCAAATGTTAACGCTCAGGGTGGCTTCTATGGCAACGCTCTCCAAGCCGCTTCAGCAAGAGGCGACCAAGAGACCACCCGGATGCTCCTCAGGAACGGAGCAGATGTCAACGCTCAGGGTGGCCACTATGGCAACGCTCTCCAAGCTGCTTCATGGGGAGGCGACCAAAAGATCGTCCAGATGCTCCTGAACAACGGAGCAGATATCAACGCTCAGGGTGGTGAGTATGGCAACGCTCTCCAAGCTGCTTCAGCAAGAGGCGACCAAAAGATCGTCCAGATGCTCCTGAACAACAGAGCAAATGTTAACGCTCAGGGTGGCTTCTATGGCAACGCTCTCCAAGCTGCTTCAGCAAGAGGCGACCAAGAGACCACCCAGATGCTCCTGAACAACAGAGCAAATATTAACGCTCAGGGTGGTGAGTATGGCAACGCTCTCCAAGCTGCTTCAGCAGAAGGCCACCAAGAGATCGTCCAGATGCTCCTGAACAACGGAGCAGATATCAACGCTCAGGGTGGTAAGTACGGCAACGCTCTCCAAGCCGCTTCAGCAGAAGGCCACCAAGAGACCGCCCAGATGCTCCTCAGCAACGGAGCAGATATCAACGCTCAGGGTGGCCACTATGGCAACGCTCTCCAAGCCGCTTCAGAGGGAGGCCACCAAGAGATCGTCCAGATGCTTTTCAACAACAGAGCAGAAGTCGACTCAAAAGATACCTCCGGCTGAACATCACTATCTTGGGCAGCTGAGTATGGTCATGAGGCCGTGGTCAAGATACTCCTCAACACAGCCAAGGTCGATATCAACTCGAAAGATATCTCCGGCTAAACACCACTATTGTGGGTAGCTTCATTTGGTAATAAGGCTATTATCAAAATGCTCATTGATATAGGGAGGGCAGATATTAACTCTAGCGATATTACTGGCTGGACCGCACTATCCTGGGCTTCTATCAAAGGGCATGTGGGGTGGTGTTGTTACTCGCCAACGCCAATGATGCTGATATTAATATTAGAGACCACGATGGGTTTAGCCCATTTATGCGGGCTGTGTGGAGATCTAAGAAGGAGGTTGTGGATATTCTCCTTCAGATGAGGCGTCTTTCCCATTATGATTATATGGATGGGTTATGTTTTCAGGCGTTCTGGTTCATGTTGCTGCATGAGTTGGACCAGTTTATGGTTGATATTACCTATGACTTAGGGTACGATTTCTTTGGTCTAAGGGGACTTTTCTATGACTCATATGTATTATAAGATGCTGGTTTATTTTTTCTTTGACTGTTGTCGTGTGAATGTCTCACCTTCCTCTATATTTGGGTATGCGATCCTGTTGATTTCCTCATGAATGTCTGATTCCTATTCATACCCTCTAGAGGCCCTACGTCACCAGCAGGAGAAGACTGCCGACCTTTCCTTCCATTCCGCAAAACTATCTTCATTCCCCAGCCAAACCAGCTGATCCCTCCTTTACAGGCGACGACTGACCGCCCCCGACCGCTAGGGGAGCATCCAAAGGAACAGCTTCCTCAGCAATCTTCAACCGCCTCTCGGGGAAGATGTCTACAACTACTCCCGCAAATCACAAGCTCTCAGCTGATCAAACCCCGCTCGAAGAGACAAGACTCTGTTCTGTCCGCCCTATACTGGTCAAGCCTGGCATCCTTCCCCATAGTGATCCCGGCCACAGCACCCTCGAAACCTTCATTAATCTCCTCAACACCACCGCTACTGAGAAGGAGCAACGTCTGAAGGTCTCTCCTTCCAGGGCAGTTTGTAACACCTTTGTGTTCAGCAACCCGCCAAATGCCAGCTCCTAAATTTATAACAGTTCACTGGCCTGGCCGACCTCGCCCGCCTATACAACGCTGTTTTCCGCAGCAACAAACAGCCCAACTTCACCAAGGCCGCCAACCTCTAGATCTACATCTGGTTTCCCTTGCATGAGCCCTGCGCTTCCAAGTTCCAAGAAGCCCAGCTTTCACCATCCAGTTGATATCCGGAAGTTGTCCCTCTACGGCTGGTGTGGATGCCTCCCCCGCACCAACCCAAAGGTAAATATTGATTAACGTCTTTCTACACGTCATGTGTGATACCCGCCCGGTATCTATACCATTATCTATACCGCACCTTGATCCTGACGACGGACCGCATGTTTGAGGACTATCCGCGCTAGTCAAAGTACTCTGCCACGCCCATCAAGCCCATGCCTAACAGCCACGCGGCGGCATCTCATGGGCCCCCTCCCACCCGGATCGGCGCCATTAACAATCACTTCCCCCACGGGTTGCTGTACTCACCTCCAGAAAGGATAGGAACCTAAACGTCATCCCTCACCATATCTACGGTGGGGACCACTTAAAGCATAAACCGCGGACTGGCAATACCCCCCCCCCCCCCCCAGGCATCCTCTCGAATGACCAGCCCGTGTGGCCCAAGTCTCCCACTGTCCTCAGGGAGGTTTACCTGAGCTCCCCAACATCGCAGCAATAGTCCCAGCCAGTAGCCACAACACGGACCCATCGAGTCTCGTCCGTTAGATCCAGGCTACATGAATGCAGGGCACGCAAGGTGAACGCACAACCTCACAGTCATGAAGTTGACGAGGTAACGGGACAGGGGAGAACACACGAGAAGTGTACATGGCATGAAGGACGAGGAAGCCCGCGGGACATGGACACGGCAGCCATTGGCAGCTTGGGGACACGGCGTCTTATTGGGGCCAGGAAACCCACCCGATCGATAGTCTATTACGTGGGAGGGAACCACGCACATATGTATTGCAGTGCGATAGACTAAGAAACAAGAGCGACATTACTGGCCTATCTGTTATTCTGTTGGTTTCGCAGGGTGAATACAGCGATATCGCGTACTTTGACGAATAACTGTATGGATTGGTTGGCTTGATGTGTGTAGAAGGGAAGAGTCTCAAACGGGTGAAGTGAGGCCAGGTTATGGCCGTCAGCCACGGACCGCCACACCACTTGCCACAGCTAGACTCCGACGTGTTATTCCGACATATTCGGTGTATGTTCCGTCCATCGTTCGACTTGCGTTTGACCATGCTTTACTAGAGATGTGTTCGACCTGTCATTAGGAACAACAGCCAGGTAGCCGGTATGCAAATTTCACCCGGCTGGGTCGATGTAGTATATCACGAAGATGCGTAAGTTAAAATTCTCTGGTCATTTCCTAGTAAATGTCATTCTACATATGGACCATATTACTACTCCTGGTGGTAGATAATGTCTGTTTAGATAACCATTTCAACTCCTTAGGGAGATATCGCTCAGTTGCACAGTTTGGAAAGTAGACTATGACCGACATGCCTTACATCCATTGTCGAGGCAGCGGTGGAATAGCGTAAGCTCTAAATGAAGCGTGGATTTAACATGCTTCAGAAAACTGCGGCAATCTTCACAAACAGGTCGGCACACCAGAATCTTTCCCTTATTAATGGTGACTGGAGGCTCAACTTCCCTGAGGCTTGAAAGCTTCTCCCTGTGACGCCTTTCAATCTCCTGCTGCTCGTATTCCTCGTCAGACGGCTCATGCAGTCTTAGTCTTGCTATGTCTACCTCTTCCTCCACTTCTTTGGACAGGAAGAGATGCTTGTTGACGAAAAATGCGACCAGCTGTTTCTCTGCATGGCAAGCATGATACCGTCCGGGCTCCCCCTGATCTCTTTGATGTGGCGTAAGTGGGTATCCAATGAAGTCGCAGAGCTGACGGACCTCCATTGTCCACTCCCTGCCTCCGAATTGGACATCGGAGTCCTCTACGTGGGCCCAACCGCTCATGGCAGCCGCTGTAGGAAGTTGACTGCCCCGATATAATACCGCCACAGTCTTCCACTTGTTTGGGATATCAAAGTTGGAGATTAATGTAAGTAAGTTTTCGTCCTCTGGTGACCGAGTAAATGCAAAACTGGACAGGATTGGTAGCCGCTCTCCGAGGCTTTCGCTCAGCAGACGAACAATCCTTTCCCGATCCAAGTCTCTCTGGTATGCGTCTTCTTTGTAGACCCCTCTAGTCCGGCAATACCGTTCCTTACTGTTGTTCCGTAGCGGTCTAGCGAAGTCCACGGCCCGCAAGCGTTGACCGTGACAAGCGCAATCGATTTTTCTATTGGCACCGTATTCCAAGAGAAGTTCGACGTTCGTCAACCGTCCCCAGAGAGCAGCTTCCATCAGCGGATCTCGTCCGTCCATGTTAACCGCGTCTGGGTTCGCTCCCTTCTGCAAAAGAAGCCGAACCATCTCGTATGACGCCTCACATGCAGCGAAATGAAGCGCCGTATTGCCAGTTACTTGGACAATCTCATCATCCAGCGGTTTGGTGCCATCAGTACTGCCGTCGCTAGAAGAGTCGGAACCATCAAGCTGAGGGACAGAGTGTGCCTCGACGCCATGGAGAAGTATATCCGCGTCCTTGGATGATTCTAAATAATTGCGTACTTCTCCTACCCTTCCCTGAACTAAGGCGCTCACAACGTCGATAATCCTTTCGATAGTGTAGCCACCAGGAAGTCCTGAATCGGCCTCGCTGATATGGACCTTCTCGGTTGCTTCAGTCCACTTTTTTCTGTCTCTAAAATCATCAGCCGTAGGTTGTTGTTGTTGTTGTATTTAACGCCGTGGCGGCAAGGGCGCAGCCGCCCTTGCGGCCGACCTCCCGAGGGGTATATGGCGTGGAGGGCCGCAGGCTCAAGCTATATACTCTACAGTACACGCCTCTTCCTAACGTCCTCCAAATCTTGCCCATAGGCTACTATGTGTTCTATCCGTCCCTAGTTCCCGCTGGTTCCCTGGTTCCGTTATACTCGTCAGTTCCTCTACGAGGGGGGGGGGTTTCGTTACTAAGGCCTAGGTTCAGACCTAGGCCCTAGTACCGCGGGCAAATCTTCCGGAAGAAATCTGTCACGCAGAGAAAGGCCTGGAAGCCTTCATGATCAGTGATTAGCCCCTTGTAGTATCGATCCAGAGATCCTATTGGTCCTATAGGCTCCTGTGGACTAGAGGGGTGGAGGGTGGGCCACTGAAGCCTCCTCGCTAAGGTCTTTCGGCAGTAGACTAGGTGGTCTGCCTCCTTTGCCTCCCCACAGGAGCAGGTAAGCAGTGCTTCTGTATGGTTAAAGCGTTGATGGTATTGTTCGAAGTCTCCATGGCCTGACCGGGCTGCTAGGAGATGATGGAGTATAGCCCGTGGCAGGGCTAGTTCAGGGGGGCAGGCAAGGGAAGCCTTAAGCCCTAGTTGGGTATAGCGGGGTGTTGCATCTTGCTTCCACCATTTTCTATACTGGCGGCATATACGTTCTCTAGCTAGCCGTTTGATCCCTGACAGGGTGGCTAGTTGGCTCCTAGGGGCTGGCATGGTTGTGCCCTCCTTGGCTAGGCTGTCTGCTTCCTCGTTCCCTTTGATGCCTTCATGCCCTGGGGACCAATGGGTTCGTATGTCATACGTCCTAGCTGCCTCTTGGATCCCAAGGAAGGCCGCTTGTGAGGAGTCTGGGACCCTGCCTCGGATCCCCTGGATAACGCTGGTATTATCGATACAGATATGTATAGGCTGGCCCTGGGAGGTAAGGAGGGCCCGTCGGAGCCCTGCCCTCGCCCCCTCAGCCTCCCCATCAAACACTTCTGCTAAGCTGAGGCGGCCGCAGCCCTGGGCTATACGTTTGTTCTTACGGTATATAACAAAGCCAAACCCTGTAGCGCCATCAGGGGC